TATTCTTCTTAAGTCTAGATTTCGTTTTTTTTTAACTCGTCATGCAAAACATTGCTAGCTTTAAAATCACCATAGTTCATGGCATAAAAAATAAATTTTGTTGCATCACGGGCTCATTTATTTGGACTTTTTTTTTTTAAGCCCTAACACGTACGATCGCGGCAAAAGTTGAGGTTGATTCCTCTTTGTAGCAATTTTTAATAGCCTTCTATTTTATCTCTTATAATATGAAACATTTTAACATGTTCTGAAATTTTGCCTGTGTTGTTTCACCTTGAAAAGTTTTGAAATGGCCTTTTTTTTCTTTAGTAATAACGTTTTTGTTTTTAGAATGCCTTTATTTTCTTTGTTTTGGAAGCCATTTGCATTTTTTATATTTCAAATTTAATGGATGCAAAGATATTCTATTTAATAAAAAGTATAATGTGTAAAAATTTATGCAACATACAGCCAAAATAGAATGTAAATCAAAACAAACAATAACGCAAAATTTTTTGTTTTGAAATCACGATCCGCGAGCTGAAACATGCTCAAAATTATGTTGTTTGAATTTTTTTTAAATTACAATTTTAAGTTTGTTATAAGCATAGTATTTTAAATAGATTTTATTATTTTGGGATCTAAAATAGGTTCGTTATAGGGGTAGTTCATTATTTTAAAAATCGCAAAGTTCGTTATAACGATTGTATTTTCAATGGAATGGAATCGGGAATCGCCTTAGGTTCCTTATAAGGGAAGGTTCGATATATCCGGGGTTCGTATTAGCGAGGTTTTACTGCATAAGCCACCTTTAAACATCAACTTTTTTTTTTGCTAAAAACAATAAAATTTGGCAAAAAAGATAACATTTAAACCTAATCTTGAAAATAAAGTTCATCGTTTTCATCAATTTTCTACCAGAGGATTATATTAATGTACCAAGAGAGGCATCTCTCCCTTTAATTATACATCAGAACGAGGCATTATGTTATCTCCCTAGTATGTTGTATTCTTGCCTGAAAATTGGCCCTTGCCACTCTTTCAGCTTCAACACATGTTTGATAAATACAAACGATTTCATAATCTCTATCGTAGGAAATCGAATCCACCCCTGTAATATGAGGACCATAGTCTGAAACCTTGGTATACAGGTTGTTGACCTTTAATCTAATTTGCCAAATCTGGTGTTGTGGCTCATTGTTTATCATCACTAGTAAAGTTTTTTACTATGGTGATGAACATAATGTTGTGATGTATAATTAAAGGACCTCTCTAGGTACACGAGTATAATCCTTCTGCAACTCTATGTTGCATATATACAAAAGCAAAGATGATCTCTCCCGTCAAAATAAATAGATGGCTTTAAATTTTGACATTTATTTTGACAGGAGAGGTGACCTTTGCTTTTATAGATCAATTTCCTTCCAGCAAAATTTCCATCTATTATTTTAGTCATAGATTTTGGCCCAGCCACTTTGCCAGTTAAACACCTCTTTGGCAGATTGTGAAGACTCCATTAGATACCTTGTGGTTCTCATGGAATAAAGTCCGACCTGGACTGAAGAGGGCCATTAGCCCGAAACCATGGTCTCATCCAGGTGGACACTTCTCAGTTTAAAATTTTACACAAATAAATTTACTGGCAATGCGTTTCTTTTAAATATCATCAAATATTATCTCTACAGACCTTACTGCAATGATATGAGTTATTGAATGAGAGGGCTTGGCTCATCAGTAGTGAACCCTCTCAGCGGTTTCGCCAAATTAATCTCTAGACCGCTCTACTATTGTATTGGATTGGTTTTGTCCAGCTATAAGCTTATGTCCATAGTTCACTAAACACCCCTAAGCTGCCTTCCATAGAAAATGCAGGGTATATAACAAAACCAGTCCAATACAATAGTAGAGCGGTCTAGAGATTAATTTGGCGAAACCGCTGAGAGGGTTCACTACTGATGAGCCAAGCCCTCTCATTCAATAACTCATATCATTGCAGTAAGGTCTGTAGAGATAATATTTGATGATATTTAAAAGAAACGCATTGCCAGTAAATTTATTTGTGTAAAATTTTAACGATAGATGGCAATACAATTTAATTTACTTCTCAGTTTTCCAAAGCTGGTTTCGTTGGTTTGTCACCAACCTGAGGCTGCTAGTTTGCAGCAATGGTCAATAGATGGTGTTTATTTTTGACAGGAGAAGTAACCCCTTTACTTTTATATGTCAATTTCCTCCAGGCAAAATTTCCATCTATATACATATATGAAATTAATCTGTCCTCAAAGCATACAGTTTGCTGCTTGAATACAGTGTTAGATATTTAAGCAGAATTGTTCAATACAGTATTAGAGCTCTCAAAAGTATGTAGTAAGGTAGATCAAACTGGTAAAACCTCTGGGAGGATTTACCACTAATTAGCATAGGCCCTCACAATAGTTTTTCATTGCAGAAAAAACAGAAGGAAGTTTAATTTATTTAAAAGTGAAAAAGTGGTGCCTACAATATGGTTTCAGTTTGGAAAGTATGCTGAATATCTCCACAGGGGGAGTCTACTCACCTTGACAAACATGTTGATGCCGTAGATGAGGAAGAAGGTGAGCACTACCAACATGAGGAGAGCGTAGAGTCCATTGAAGACTGTAGTCACCAGTACCTGAACAGCCACAGGAGTGGTTCCAACAACTTCACTGAACCTACTTTACACAGCAGGTACAGTACAACTACCTCTCTGTAAAGGGCAACACTTGGTTGCAGAGTCAAAGTGTCCTTATAAGGAGAGTGTACTCTTACCCGAGAATTGATAATTAGTAAAAATGGCTGTTGTTGTTTCTTATCCCCTTGTGTAAAGATTACACGAATTCCATGAGTTCATGCTCCTCGAGCTGTTTTATGATAAGCAGTGGGCCTCTCTCAAAGGTCCTGTTTAGTGCATCTAATGCAAGCCAAGATGTGTTCTGAAGCTGCAGGTGCCAAGCTACATTTTGGGCAAGTGGGGTAGATTTTGCTATTATTTTCTAGTAAAAATGGTAATTTGGCCAAATAGCCTGTGTTAAGACTATGCTGGTATATGAGAGAACGGGGATCCTTCCTTCTGACAGATCTTTCATGCTTGGCCATTCTGATTCTCCCAGTGTGGGAGAACAGTGAATACTGTCAATATTTGACAGCCAGGACCAATCCTGCATTGGACACCGTTTTTCTAAAGGAAATATTACTTCAATGGAGACCCCTGATTGTCACAAAAGTCCAGGCTGTCCAACATGTGGTTTACTTACAGTGAGAGCAGTGGCTATCATGGTCTGGAATAAGTTACCCACCTGTAGAGGGGAGCTGTGCAGCAGGAAAAGCTGGGCGGCCAGCAGGGAGTAGATGAGGACATTGAAGAGGACAAAAGCCAGCAGAGACTTGGTCAGGAATTGTTGGGAGCTCTCCCTGGTGTTCCCCAGATGGAACATCTGACACACCAACTTTGTGTTTATATATATTGGACACATTAATTGCTTATACAGTTAAACCTGTCTATAGCGCCCGATTTTAAATACATAGTACAATGCGATTTACATTAAAAGTGACCTGTCTATAGCACCCTATATTTTGGTGGATCCCAAGAGGGGGGCGCTATAACAGGTTTAACTGTACTATTTATAATAAGAGAGAATTGATAAGGCACAATTTGGATTATAAATTTAAAAAACACAAGGTAATAAGACCAAATCCAAATAATATAAATATTGTACAGTAAAACCCCGCTAATACGAACCCTGGATATAACGAACCTTCCCTTATAACGAAAGCACGCCGATTCCCAATTCCATTCCATTGAAAATACCATCGTTATAACGACTTTGCGATTTTTAGAATAACGAACTACCCCTATAACGAACCTATTTCGGGTCCCAAAATGATTAAATCTATTAAAAATACTATGCTTATAACGAACTTAGAAGTGTAATTTAAAAAAAAAAAATTAAAAAACAAAATTTTGAGCATGTTTTAGGTCGCGGATCGCGATTTCAAAACAATAAATTTAGAGGCATTGTTTGATTTTTGCACTTTATTTTTGCTGTATGTTGTATAAATTTTTACACATTATACTTTTTATTAAATAGAATATCTTTGCATCCATTAAATTTGAAATATAAAAAATGCAAATGGCTTCCAAAATGAAGAAAACAAAAGCATTATTTCTTTAAAAAAAAAGGGGCCATTTTCAGAACTTTTCAAAGTGAAACAACATAGGCAAAATGTTAAGAACATATTAAAATAAGATAATATAACTTTTCTATTATAAAAGATAAAATATAAAGTTATTAAAAATTGTTACAAAGAGGAATCAACTTCAACTTTTGCCGCGATCGCGATCGTACGTTTTAGGGCTAAAAAAAAAAAAGTCCAAATAAACGGTCCCGTGATGAAACAAAAATTATTTTTATGCCATTAACTATGGTGATTTTAAAGTCAGCAATGTTTTGCATGGCAGGTTAAAAAAAAAAACGAAATCTAGACCTAGAAGAATATGGGGAAACATGAAATGGAAGAAAAACACTAACTTTATTTGAATGGTGCAATGCTTAGAAGAATGCTTTGAAACAACAAGGTATTAGAACCATTTTTTCAAGTAAAAATTGTATTATATAAAGTTATAATTATGTTTTAAAATCATTTCATATCTTTGAATATATATTTAATAAAACTTTGCCAAGGAGTTGTCATGATTTTTAACTTAGACATAGAAGTACATGTATGTTAATCATAAGAAGAACCTATTATCTAATGATTTCTATTATTATTCAGTATTAATATAAGCAAATTAGTCAATTAAGGGAATTAAAATAAAGTGACCACTATTAAGAGGCAGCCTCTTCTTGTGTGTATGGCTGTTTTTTAATTATACGGTCTAAAATTTTGAAAAGTAAAAAAAAATAGCCAAACCGTGGCTATAGTGAACCGTGGCTATAGTGAACCAAAATCTCTGTCCCATTGGGGTTCACTATAGAGGGGTTTTACTGTATATAGAAGCTGCTGTGATTGTCTAGTGGTTAGAACAATGTGTTGTGGCCGCAATAACCCAGGTTTGTATCCTTGTCACAGCACCTTTTACCACACAATTTTTATTTGGATTTGGTGTTATTACCTTGTGTTTAACAAGAAAACTAAGACTATAACGAAATTTATATCTTTCTTGAGTCGTTTCAAGGTTTTATTTCTTAAAATAGGGAAAATTACAAAAATTAGGAAAAAAAATAAACCAAGATCAAATAAATGAAAATATGTTTTAAAAAAAAAGGCCTCACAAGGGGCTTAGCCTCTTAACAGAAGGGGACAAAGATATGAAGTTTCATGAACCCTTGTAACCACTTCTATTTACAAGCTAGAAGAACTTTCAGATTCAAAAACTATGGAATTGTAATAAAATATTTAAAAATGAAACTCATACTCACACAGACTGTTGATGATGTCACCTAAAATCAATTTGATAGAGAGAAAGAGAATTTATTGAGCATGCTATGTTTGAAAGTATAACATTTTGGTACATGCTCTTATTTCAGGTGACCTGGATTTCTTGTCTACATCTTGTATGCTTCCTCCTGTCTATATTTTCCCATTTGTTATAAATAAAAAGATATGAGCTCAAAATATATACAGTTCAACTTGATAAGGCATAATTTGGATTATAGATTATAAACACAAGGTAATAAGACCAAATCCAAATAAATAATTAGTGTGTGACATTTCGGCAACAACGCTGTTACCAAAAACGTCACACACTAATTAATCAATTGGATTTGGTCTTATTACCTTGTGTTTACAGTTAAACTTCTTTAATCTAACAACCCAAAGGGATTAGAATTTTTGGTTGAATCAAAGTCCTTGGGGGGGACTACAGATATAATTTTATTTAAAAAATAAAAATAATTTGGTAACACACACACCCCTCTATTAAAGTCTTCAAGGAGACACAGGTTTGAGATATAACCTTATTATTGAGGTCACCTTTAGGACAGGTAATATCTTGACCTTGAAGGGAAAACTAATAAACATAGAAGCTATAACAGAATAGGGGTTTTAGTGTAGATAGAACAATGTATTATCCCTAGTACCCATGGTAACAGGCCATGATAATCATGGTGGGTAGCTAGCGACTGCTTTTACTGTAAGTACACCACATGTCTACACATGTGAAAAGCAGTTCGACTTTTGCAATTAAAAATGTGCTAGAGCTCCGTTTGGTTACTTGCACTCGCTGGTGGGGTTGGACTTTTGCAAGAATCGGGGGTCATTGGGCATTTTTTTCAATTAGAAAAAAAGTGCCCAATACAGGATTCAATCCCAGGTCATAGCGGTCGAAAATCAATGGTTTAGACCATCCTTCCACCAAGCCCACAGATAGCACAATAGTTTGGTGTTGTCACAAGGTAACAAATACAGTAGAGCCTCCAAGAGTGGATACTCCTGAACAAGGGACAGTTCTCATCGCCCAAATTACCATTTTTTACTAATTAGCTGCTTAGAGTAAGAGGACACCATTCTCTGAAAATTACTTTGGCTCTGGAGCTAGGTGTTGTTCTTTAGAGAGAGCTTCTTGTTGTTGTTAGTGTCCATTAAGTCAAATTTGACTTTTGGTGACTAGAGAGAGGTTCTTGTTGTTGTTAGTGTCCATCAAGTCAAATTTGACTTTTGGTGACTAGAGAGAGGTTGTTGTTGTTGTTAGTGTCCATCAAGTCAAATTTGACTTTTGGTGACTAGAGAGAGGTTCTTGTTGTTGTTAGTGTCCATCAAGTCAAATTTGACTTTTGGTGACTAGAGAGAGGTTGTTGTTGTTGTTAGTGTCCATCAAGTCAAATTTGACTTTTGGTGACTAGAGAGAGCTTCTTGTTGTTTGTTAGTGTCCATCAAGTCAAATTTGACTTTTGGTGACTAGAGAGAGCTTCTTGTTGTTGTTAGTGTCCATCAAGTCAAATTTGACTTTTGGTGACTAAGAGAGGCTTCTTGTTGTTGTTTAGTGTCCATCAAGTCAAATTTGACTTTTGGTGACTAGAGAGGAGCTTCTTGTTGTTGTTAGTGTCCATCAAGTCAAATTTGACTTTTGGTGACTAGAGAGAGGTTGTTGTTGTTGTTAGTGTCCATCAAGTCAAATTTGACTTTTGGTGACTAGAGAGAGGTTGTTGTTGTGGTTAGTGTCCATCAAGTCAAATTTGACTTTTGGTGACTAGAGAGAGGTTCTTGTTGTTGGTTAGTGTCCATCAAGTCAAATTTGACTTTTGGTGACTAGAGAGAGGTTCTTGTTGTTGTTTATTGTCCATCAAGTCAAATTTGACTTTGGTGACTAGAGAGAGGATTCTTGTTGTTGTTAGTGTCCATCAAGTCAAATTTGACTTTTGGTGACTAGAGAGAAGGTTCTTGTTGTTGTTAGTGTCCATCAAGTCAAATTTGACTTTTGGTGACTAGAGAGAGGTTCTTGTTGTTGTTAGTGTCCATCAAGTCAAATTAGACTTTTAGGTGACTAGAGAGAGGTTCTTGTTGTTGTTAGTGTCCATCAAGTCAAATTTGACTTTTGGTGACTAGAGAGAGGTTCTTGTTGTTGTTAGTGGTCCATCAAGTCAAATTTGACTTTTGGTGACTAGAGAGAGGTTCTTGTTGTTTGTTAGTGTCCATCAAGTCTAATTTGACTTTTGGTGACTAGAGAGAGAGCTTCTTGTTGTTGTTAGTGTTCCATCAAGTCAAATTTGACTTTTGGTGACTAGAGAAAGGCTTCTTGTTGTTGTTAGTGTCCATCAAGTCAAATTTGACTTTTGGTGACTAGAGAGAGGTTCTTGTTGTTGTTAGTGTCCCATCAAGTCCAAATTTGACTTTTGGTGACTAGAGAGAGGTTCTTGTTGTTGTTAGTGTCCATCAAGTCAAATTTGACTTTTGGTGACTAGAGAGAGGTTGTTGTTGTTGTTAGTGTCCATCAAGTCAAATTTGACTTTTGGTGACTTGAGAGAGGTTGTTGTTGTTGTTAGTGTCCATCAAGTCAAATTTGACTTTTGGTGACTAGGAGAGGTTCTTGTTGTTGTTAGTGTCCATCAAGTCAAATTAGACTTTTAGTGACTAGAGAGGGTTCTTGTTGTTGTTAGTGTCCATCAAGTCAAATTTGACTTTTGGTGACTAGAGAGAGGTTCTTGTTGTTGTTAGTGTCCATCAAGTCAAATTTGACTTTTGGTGACTAGAGAGAGGTTCTTGTTGTTGTTAGTGTCCATCAAGTCTAATTTGACTTTTGGTGACTAGAGAGAGCTTCTTGTTGTTGTTAGTGTCCATCAAGTCAAATTTGACTTTTGGTGACTAGAGAGAGTTCTTGTTGTTGTTAGTGTCCATCAAGTCAAATTTGACTTTTGGTGACTAGAGAGAGCTTCTTGTTGTTGTTAGTGTCCCATCAAGTCAAATTTGACTTTTGGTGACTAGAGAGAGCTTCTTGTTGTTGTTAGTGTCCATCAAGTCAAATTTGACTTTTGGTGACTAGAGAGAGCTTCTTGTTGTTGTTAGTGTCCATCAAGTCAAATTTGACTTTTGGTGACTAGAGAGAGCTTCTTGTTGTTGTTAGTGTCCATCAAGTCAAATTTGACTTTTGGTGACTAGAGAGAGCTTCTTGTTGTTGTTAGTGTCCATCAAGTCAAATTTGACTTTTGGTGACTAGAGAGAGGTTCTTGTTGTTGTTAGTGTCCATCAAGTCAAATTTTGACTTTGGTGACTAGAGAGAGGTTCTTGTTGTTGTTAGTGTCCATCAAGTCAAATTTGACTTTTGGTGACTAGAGAGAGGTTCTTGTTGTTGTTAGTGTCCATCAAGTCAAATTTGACTTTTGGTGACTAGAGAGAGGTTGTTTGTTGTTGTTAGTGTCCATCAAGTCAAATTTGACTTTTGGTGACTAGAGTGAGAAGGTTTGTTGTTGTGGTTAGTGTCCATCAAGTCAAATTGACTTTTGGTGACTAGAGAGAGGTTCTTGTTGTTGTTAGTGTCCATCAAGTCAAATTTGACTTTTGGTGACTAGAGAGAGGTTGTTGTTGATTGTTAGTGTCCATCAAGGTCAAATTTGACTTTTGGTGACTAGAGAGAGGTTCTTTTGTTGTGTTAGTGTCCAAGTCAAGGTCAAATTTGACTTTTGGTGACTAGAGAGAGGTTCTTGTTGTTGTTAGTGTCCATCAAGTCAAATTTGACTTTTGGTGACTAGAGAGAGGTTCTTGTTGTTGTTAGTGTCCATCAAGTCAAATTTGACTTTTGGTGACTAGAGAGAGGTTCTTGTTGTTGGTTAGTGTCCATCAAGTCAAATTTGACTTTTGTGACTATGAGATAGGTTCTTGTTGTTGTTAGTGTCCATCAAGTCAAATTTGACTTTTGGTGACTAGAGAGAGGTTCTTGTTGTTGTTAGTGTCCATCAAGTCAAATTTGACTTTTGGTGACTAGAGAGAGGTTCTTGTTGTTGTTAGTGTCCATCAAGTCAAATTTGACTTTTGGTGACTAGAGAGAGTCTGTTGTTGTTGTTAGTGTCCATCAAGTCAAATTTGACTTTTGGTGACTAGAGAGAGGTTGCTTGTTGTTGTTAGTGTCCATCAAGTCAAATTTGACTTAGGTGGACTAGTGAGAGGTTGTTGTTGTTGTTAGTGTCCATCAAGTCAATTTGGCTTTTTGGTGACTAGAGGAGAGGTTCTTGTTGTTGTTAGTGTCCATCAAGTCAAATTTGACTTTTGGTGACTAGAGAGAGGTTGTTGTTGTTGTTAGTGTCCATCAAGTCAAATTTGACTTTTTGTGACTAGAGAGAGGTTCTTGTTGTTGTTAGTGTCCATCAAGTCAAATTTGACTTTTGGTGACTAGAGAGAGGTTGTTGTTGTTGTTAGTGTCCATCAAGTCAAATTTGACTTTTGGTGACTAGAGAGAGGTTGTTGTTGTTGTTAGTGTCCATCAAGTCAAATTTGACTTTTGGTGACTAGAGAGAGGTTGTTGTTGTTGTTAGTGTCCATCAAGTCAAATTTGACTTTTGGTGACTAGAGAGAGGTTTGTTGTTGTTTGTTAGTGTCCATCAAGTCAAATTTGACTTTGGTGACTAGAGAGAGGTTCTTG